GGCGCCTGCCTGGTCAGGAAGCCCAATGATGCGCATCACGCGTGTTTCGTTTCGAGATGGCTGAGGCTTCAAGGCTGAGGCAGCCGATGTTCCCGATGCTTCCCACGTAACCGGTCCTTCTGCGCGTGACGTTATGTGGGAACTTGCCGGCAAGGCCGAACGCCCTTTTGGAAGCTTTGCATGCACGCCTCGGACAGGGAGTGTGGCATAACACGCCGAAGAGCAGGATGATACGCTTTTGTTGCAACCGCCTGTGCCACAGCCACAGGTGGTGCGAGAAGGCTCTCTGGAGGTCAAGTTCGCAGTGGGGCTCTTGTCTACATGGCGAAGTAGAGGCGGCCAAAGCGGTGATAGGGTCTTTGTTAGATGGAATCGCAATTTACCCCACGGCGATTGCGGCGCATGATGAGAGGAACAGGCTAGCGGGCTGCTATCTTGGGCAAGGTGAAGCATGGGGCCAAACAAGGACGGATGTGGCGCCGGCCAATGGCAGACAAGCCTCAACCCTCCGCCAGCCGCTGCCCTCGAACGCGACCGAGTATCACCTGTTGACGCTCCCTCGACACCACTCGTGGCCGTTTTGTGCACCATCGACAAACGTAGACGCCTGCGCTGCGATTCACTCACTTGCTCGCGCCATAGCATCTTGTACTCCATTCGTGTTGTGTTCACCTTGCGACTGCCGCTGGATACCCCCTCGCGCCTGCCGCTCCCTGACGCCCGTACCCACTCGTTCACCACAACTGTAGTCGTCGCATTCACCACGGCGCAAAGCCAGCAACAATAGCCCGAGCAACAACAATACCACTGTTGTCGCTATACATATACGTACGCAGCCATCGGACACGCCTCTTCCGCTGTCACCGCTGTTCAAGCCTTGCGCATCTCAAACACGCAACGCTCCACCCACGCGCACACGTCTCTTGTCATGCGCACGGCACTCTGGTAGCATTCCGAACACCCACCTTTTTGGAAAGCCCTCCGTTCCCGGCCACCCGCCGCAATCCTCCGCCTGCTTAACAAAACTACCGCCCCTGTCGCTCTTTCCCTCGCTCGCTAGTGGTGAGCAGCCGGCCTGTCACCACCATATCGCGAATACTCACTCGACAACCGAAATTGCCTCCTCCTTTTGGCTACAACAACCAACCCATGTCCTAGCGACCAAGTCACTCCTTAGACGAACAGCTGGACTGCAGGCCACCGTACCGCTGAGCGGATACTTACATACACACATACGTACATACCGACTAATACCGAATCGCCAACATGGGGTGCTGCGGAGACCGCGAAAAGGGAACTACCGTGACGGAGGAGCAGAAGTGGACTTATATCGTAAGCACTTGAGCGCGAATATGGAAGCGCATTGCTAATTGTCCTAGAACTTGTCCGACTTCAAGTCCACATCTTGCCTCGCACCCTTCTCGTACGCCTGGCTGTGGATTCTCGTCGTCATCTCATGCGCCGTCTACGCCGCCGATGCCTTCACCGCCGTCAACCTCCTCGCTTTCGACAAATGGACTAGCCAGGTCAAGCCTACCGTGCCTTTCGACATTGCCAAATGGATCTTCGCCATCACCATCATCGTCTCCTACGTCTTTCTCGCATACCGATGGATCCGGGCTCTGCGCGTCATGCGGACAGGAAGTGTCACCGAATGCTACCTCGAGCCATTGGCTGCTATACTGCAGAGTATGCGCATCACAAAGACTGGCCAGGGCTGGCGCCGCTTCCTGGTCTTCGCAGAGTTGACCAAGAGTAAAAAGGGTGCTAACTACATCGCTCTCTTCGTATACTTCCAGTTCAAGAGCGCTCTTCTCATCATTGTCGCCCAGGGACCTCGCATTGCCCTCAATGCCATGACTTTATACGCCGTCATGCAAGCGCAGCTCATACCCGTCGGCGAGCACGCGTCAGAAGATCGCTCCAACTTCGAGCAGTTCTTCATGAACATCAAGCTCATGGTCGAGACCGGCAACAAGCAGGAAACGGTCATCTACTTCACCATGTTGTTCTCTCTCGTCATCTGGGTCATCGCTGCGCTGGGTCTCATTATCGCTGGTATCTTGTACCTCTTCTTCCTCTGGCACTACATCCCCAAGGCTGATGGCAGTCTTACCAACTACTGCCGACGCAAGGTCGAGACCCGTCTGGAGCGTATTGTGGGCAAGAAGATCAAGAAGGCCATCGAGAAGCAGAACCAGCAGCTGAAGAGGGAGGAGGAGAGGGCCATCAAGAAGGGCGAATTTGACGCTTCCAAGTCCCGGCCTACGCTACCAAAGCTCGAAGGCGACGATGACGATACATCGACCGTCTTCTCGCTGCAACGATCTGATACGATGCAGACCACCGCGACACTGCCCCCGTATACCCTCGCAAACACACCTTCATACAGAACAAACCCGGAGCGATCGAACACCTCGAACACTTTCAACACCATGAACTCGGGCCGAAACTTGATGAACAAGCCGTCTCTGCCCACGCTAGACGAGCGACCTGGCATGCCAGAGCGGGACGCACAATTCACAAACTTCTCGACTGCCAGCTTCGCTTCGAACGCGCCAATGCTGAACCAGGCAGGAGGTATGGGCAGGTCGTCGCCTGCACCCCAAATGCCACCTCTAGACCGTAACGGCACTGGGTACTTTGGCCAGCAAGACAACCTGCCATACCAGTCCGACCGACCTTTCACACCAATGTCACAGGGCAGAGCGTCCCCACTCCCACCACGTGGCCCCATGCCCCCTGTGGATACAAGCTACAATAACGGGCGATACGAGAACGATCCTCAACTCATCACTCCCCTCGATGCGCGGAATACACCACACCAAGCTCACCCCAACCGACCGTACCAAGAGTTCAGCCCCTACGACAGCCGGGGTCCTCAGATGGGCCCGGAGTATGAGCTGTCACCTGTCGATGTCAACCCCACAGAAGATATCTCGCAACACTACTTCTCGGACTCGAATGGACAAGCCGACTACCAGCCACCTCAAATGCCCAGCTTGTTAAGAGCTGGCTCACCCGCCCCATCACAACCCATGGGGCTACCATCGCAACCACGTTCAGGTACCGCGCCTCCACGATCTGGCACCGCGCCACCCCGAGCTGGTGTCCCAGCATCACTGCAATCTGCAATCCAGCGTCGCGAAGCCTCGCAACCTTTCCCCAACCGAGGGATGAACGGCTCAGCGCCACCTCAACAACAACAACGAAGTGCAACAGCACCGATTCAACAACCAGGTTGGGCTCAGGGACCTCCTGCCCGTAGCTACACACCTCAGGGTCCCGGCCCCCAACGCAGCTACACACCCGTCTCTGGACCCCAACAACAACAACAGCAACAACGCAGTTACACCCCAATTGCGCCTCGTGGCTACGACAACAGCTACAACTACTGATCTCCCTCATTTCATTTTATCTCATACAACGTTTGGAATCACTACATTCATGCATCTCACGGCGTTCACTTCTACTCTCCATCTGTCATCTTTGTGCCTGAGGCCGCCCAAACCCGATTCTTTTCTTACAACTCTTACCTTCATACGCACGACGCTTTCTCTCCTCCACTTCAATGTGTGTGTCAGTGAGAGAAATGTTTAACGACCTTTGTTCTGTTTTCTACTTTCGCTCTTTAGCTTGGTTTCGAGATACCCCCCAACCCGCATGGCTGGCCTCGGACGTCCTTTCGCTCTTTGATTTTACGCGTTTACCCGGGGGATTTGGTTGGAATGACTTGGTGGAATTGGATGATTTATCGGAATATGTGGAGGGTTTGTGGATGGTGATGAAGAGATGGAAATCTAGGCTTAGGCTTAGACTTGGGCTTGTATAGGTAGCATGATTGGGTCATGCTCAAAAGCAAGGATGTTTGCGCTGGGAAAGGCGCGCATATGTGTATTATATACCCACTTCTTTTGCGGAGAGTTGAGAGCAATGGAAATTGTGCATACTCATCAACAGCTTTTCACCCCACTGGCTTTTTTCTCACTGTACATTCGTTGGGGATGTTTCGCTCTCAGCTTCATTGCGGCCGATCACCTCGCCGTCTCTAATGACAACTTTTTACCATTGTGTCTAATAACACGAGAAACCACGCTTCTGCTATTTCTTTATCTCTATCTTCGAAGCTTTCAATTTCGTGTCTCAGCAAGAATCACATGCAACGCCGATTCAGTCGATCAAGCCCGTTACACACGTATTCTTGTTCCAATAATCTCGTTTTGGGCTGGGCCGCTGGGGTTCAACGGCAAAAGCAAAGCTGTTCGCGGAAGAAACGAAGGGGATGGCTACCGAGCATCTGGGTGTGATTCGCAGCGGCTTCACGCATATACTCCAAGGTTCGGTGTTTGTTAGTGTGGTATCGCATGCTTCAAATGAGGTGTTGAGCAACGCCCTACTGCCGTCGAGGCTGTTGAAGCGCACTGGGTGGAGTGGTGCCCGCAGATCGAAACTGGACATGGAGTAGTGTGTCGCGCGAACGGGGCTGTGTGGCTTGATATAACGTTAAGCATAACGTCGTCGCTTGTAATCGGTTCTTGCTTGGAGTGGGCTTGCTGTACATGCGATGGGACGTGGAGGAAGTAGGTTATAGCTTGGAAGTGTCTGTTGCTGTGAGAAGGAGAGATGGGTTGTGCTGTTTTGTGATGGTGGTTGATGTTGGTAGTTGTGGTGTACTGGCGTTGATATGTTGTGTTAGATATCATATTGTGGGCCAGGTGGGAGGTCGCAGTTTTGGAGGGGAATGTAATCTTGGGAGGACAAGGTCTAGAGAGTCTAAGGATTGCGTTTCTCTTGTTATCTAAAGAGTACCTTTGCGTATACAATTAATGTATTACAAGAGATATGGGTAGTTCATCTTACTCAGCGTTATTATAGTGTTATTAGAAAAGGTAGGCAGTAACTAGAGTATAGAATTACATAGTAAAGTAAGTTAACTGTAGAGGAATATAAAAAGCGCACCTAAAGGTCTGGAGAGGTGATATACAAGAAGGAAAGCCGCTTCACTCCAACCAAATATCCTCCCTTATCCGGTCATCCGTCATCTCATTGAAAGCCCGCTCATCCATGTCTCGGAACTGCAGCGCTCCAATCCGCCGATACACGCTTTCAATGTTCTCTCCCATCTTCATGACTCGCTCTGACTGCTGCAACATGAGCTTTTCGAAGGCATCCAGCCGCCATCTTTGTTCTCGGGAAGGTTCCACGCCTGCTAGTGCGCTTTTGTATTCTTGGTACAGCCGTTCTTGCTCGGCGAACCAGGTAGAGTGTTTCATGAGAAGGAGGCCTACTCCGGAGTAGGTCTGGGGCGCTTGCGGGAGAGGAGGTTGGGGTGAGTGGGGGGCGTGGGTGGTGTTTGGAGTGGGGGATGCGGCGAGGATGATGACTGCACACCATCCTGGATAGAAGTGTGTAGTCGCTAGCGGGGTGTCGAGAAAAACATCCAGTCCATTAGCGTCGCTAGAGGATCTGCGGAAACAATGGAGACGGTATTCGTCCTCTTTCACTTTGTCCAGTCGCGCAGTGTTCGTGTGGGCCTTCAGTGCTAATGCTCTGCTCTCTAATATAGGCTCCTTGTCGCCTTGCCTGGTCTCTTCATTGACCGCAAACCTGACGGCAGCTCCATAATGATCTGTAATCCTGTATGATCGTATGGCCAGTCGGTGTTGAGGCACAACAGCACCCTTGATACTTGCCCATGACCAGCTAGGGATATTGGCATCGAGCTCCGGTATCCTCTTACACGACTTCGTGTCCCGTACTCGCCAAGCCAGTTGCTCCTCAAGCGCCTCAGACCACATACCCACAGCGTATTGCTCGTTCATGAAATCGCGTAGCAGTTTTGCGATACTCCAGATTGCGATCGTCTTGTCGCCTTGATTCGTCAGTTCACATTTCGTGTAGTTTTGTACTGCAGACATCCAGAAAGTGTAGGAGCTTTCGTTGTCGTTGACGCCGATCATTGCGTTAGATGCGACTGTGCTTCTAGCTAGCCGTCCTCTCCAGTGTCGATCCGTGCTCGCTTTGTGGTCGAGAGGGAACGGAAGGCCTTTTGGGAATACCTCGCAGGCTGAGAGCGTACCACAGTCCCAAAAGATCTGGTGCTTCGTGAAGTGGAGGATGCGGGGAGAGAATGCGTTCTGTTGATCACCGGGAGTTAGCTTCTGGTGAGTTGTAATCGCCTGGCGGTGGGGTAGGTATCAATGCGCTGGGCTCTGCTTACCTTGAAAGACCCATGCACGGCCATATATGACGGAGCCTAGAAGTTCCATCTCCCATAGATCCGCCGGGACAATAGTCCAAGTCTTCTCCCCCAAATCATGAAGCGCATTAGTCCCCTGGTATGTGGCCGGAAGGATTTCGTGGGGTTTTCGCGTCTTGAACAGACCGCCGTGTGCATCCTTTGAGTCCGCTGCAACGATATTGCAATGCGAGTACCGATACACCCTGTGCATGAGATCGGCCTCTTTTACAAAGTCACCGAAAGGTTCCTGAACGATCGCAAGACTATCGATCCAAATATACCGCACCTTCAAGAAGCGGGTCACGTGTATTGCGTGTTGGAAGTTACGTGGAAGTTCATCCAGGGAGATGCCTGTGATCAGATGCTTGGCCATGTTCCACACGGTGGTAGTGAGGAACGGTTTCTCTCGTGGTCCCCACGCGTGGCTCAACGTGCAGTAAGGGCCCTTGACTTTCGTTGTTTTGGTATCTACCAAGCGAATGATGTCGTCATCTCCAGTGTCAACATCCAGAAGCCGCGTCGGTAGGAAGGACGGCTTGGATCGCTGGTCGTGCCAGGATTTGCTGCAGTCTTGATGATCGCGCATACAAGTGTCCATCCATCTGCTGATTTGATCCCCACCACTGCGTGCTGGATCCGTTGTGTCTTGTAGATCCTCGGGAATAGGCACATACAGATCGGTTCCTGGTAGAATTCGGAAAGACTTGGTTGGAACTTTCGGATGAGAAGACCAAAACCGTAACATCATCGATCCTCTTAGCTCTCTGCCGCGTGGTAGTGCTCGTAGGGTCCAGTGATACAATGGCCAGTTTTCGGCATTCAATACAAAATCTTCCACGTTGGCGTAGAGCGAGCTGCAAATTGTGCATTGATACGTAGCACTTTTTGTACCATCAATTGAGAGACGATGTTGTCCGGATGAAGCATCGCAATCTAATACATTGCTGACGCAAAAGTCGCACAGTCTCACTGGCGACTGCGCTGGAGCTAGCTTTGATTGCGTGACTTTTCCTTCAGGCTTATGGCGCGGAGATATGCCCTGAAACGCTTGCGGTACATGTTCAGCGCTGTTGATCCTAGGCGGCGATTGGACTAGCCCTTCGCCCTTGCCGAGGAATGATGCCTGGCCAAAGGTGCCTTCCAGCTCACGGATACGAAGGCCATCTTCGAGGCTCATGAGCGGTGTCGGGGGAGGCCTGTCGCTTGCCAACGTGTCGAATGTGCTTCCTAAGAGATCAGGTGTCTCGTCTGATGAGGATGTCTCTCGGAACTCATGTAACAGGGTAGCACTAGACGTTTTCTCTGCCGTAGATTTGACATGGTGCCTCGCCCGTTCTAGCGAATCATTGTACTTCTCTTGCACGTATAAAGTGAAGGCGGGTTTGCAGCATACATCCACCTTTCGATCTCCAGTGCGTGGATCAGTAAGCCATCCATTTGCTGCGGTGAAGACGTCTTCAACAGACCTGGGATAATCTAAATTCGAACAAGTGATCTGGGCAAGGCGTATACACTGTTCTAGTGCGTCCAGAGAAATTCCATGCGAATGATCTGCAGCGGCACCAATTGCATATATCGGAGGCAGGCGCTCGGGTTCCATCTTGCTTTCGATGAAGTTCATCTCGGTGTCAAAATAAGCAATGACGTCCCTGGGCAGCCTGTCGTCAACTCGATCTATGCTGAAGGTAGCGATCTGGTCGCGGGCAAAGATATCTTCCAAATATAACAACGCAAGTGTTATGTTGCCACCAGCTTTTGAATCAATATACTTAACAATGCGAATCGTGTTCTCGGGGTAAATATCGCGATAGTGCATGCTCAGTCTTTCTTCGAGCAAGCGCTTCATGTTGAAGTGACCCAACTTAATGCTGACATGCTGATAGGGTTCTTTGAAACCATTCACTGGGCATATGTGAGGTTCTTCCCGATGTTTCTTCTTTTCACAGTCATAACAAAGATCGAACTCGTTGCAATGTGAACATTCCCACCAGAGCTCCAGGTAGTCCTGCTTGCATTCATCGCAATACGGATTGATGGACATAGAGAACGCTGGAACCCTTCGTGTGATCATCACCTTGAAGCCGCTGGGTTCCAGAGCGGATAAGTGTGTATCGACAATCGACTGTAATGCTTCGTTGATGCGATCGTATCCGTCGAGAATGAGGAACTTGCAAGCACCGGAGGCAAAGCTCTTTAAAGCTCCGATCAGCTTCCCAATGCGCTCGGTTACAGGATCACCGAAGCGACACGCGCGCTGATATGCTCCATACTTCGCGTTGGGTTCATTGCCGAATTCTGAGTATATGAACTGAAAAAGATCCTCGATGAACGCCAATGATGTCGACCACACATGTTGAGTGATGGATACAGATGCGACAGCAGTTTTGGTCCCGTTCATGCCAGATGGCAGACGATCGGCAGCGAAAGCAGCTACAGTCGTCTGTCACGGTAAGCAAAGTCCTCTGTCAGATCCCTGAGAGCTTACTTTGCCACACCCAGGCTCTCCATAGCAGTGAAGTTGCCATGACCTAGTACCTGAAGACCATGCACAGAAGGCTGGAGACGCGAAGAACTCGTCGAATAAGGTGGGATCATATCCGCTGCCATGTAGCGTGTTTCGGCTCAAGGCTGAGTGTGGTACGTGAGTTTGTGGCGCAAAAGGATCTGGAATGTCTCCAGCTGCGGCGTCCGACATTGTCGTAGGCGCCACGAAATTGCAGATGCATTCGCAAGGAAATTGCCATCCATTGATACTGTTGTTTGAAGGTTGCAGCTGTTGCTTTTGGGGGTCAGGACGAACGACGGGTTCCAGTGGGTCGGCCCCCGCTCCATCTGTGTCCGTGCATTTGGCTTATGTCATGCAACCGGTCAATTAGCCTGGCGCGTAATCCACAAATACACATCGTCCTCCACCTCCACACAACCTGTGTGTCAGCCGGCACGTCGTACAATGTAACGCTGCGTTGGTCGACTGTATACAGCACTTTGCTGTTCGAGGCAAACATCTGCCTAGTTCGCGAACTCGCTGCATTTTCTCTACGGCCCACTTTTGCCTTCTTCCACCCTCTCCCGTCCTAGACAGTTCCGCTCACGACTGGACGAACTTTCGTCGCACTAGACGTGCGCCTCTGCTGCGCTCACGATTATCTCTCTAGGTGCCGATCTGGGCTTTGTTTGCTTGTCGAACTCCAGCGTGGACGGGGAGCTTCTATTACCCAGCTTTCATCTACCGTTTGGGCCTTCAGCTAGCGACAGGGCTATGCAAACTCGTAGCCAGCTTCCCATCGACCTCGGATATATCGAATCAGGAATCAGTATCTCTTTACAGCCTACCGACCCCTTTTACCGCGTGGGACGGGCCAAAAGGTGGTCTGGGGGCCAAGTGCGGCTGATATGCAAGATGACTGCTTTGTACTTCACGCATCAACCGACAAATCGACTGACAAGCCTCTAGCGCAATCCCGGGAAAGGCTTAAATTATCTCATGATCTGGTTAACCCCTGCAGTTTCCCGTTCACTATGCCCGTGGCAATTGGTGGCTTCGTGCCTTGGCAGGAGCAAGTGCTCATTCATTCGATAGCAGTCGCTGGCTGCTTACCGTTCCTGTACTATTCCAATTTTATGGAGTCCCCGTTGAGGCTGCGCAAACCATCGCCGCAAGTTCAGATCCCTGCCAATGGGCCTCACAGCGTTACACAAGATGTGATCACCCAAGTCAAAAAGTCGAGGAGACCCACTCTAGCTACTGACGCGACAACCTGCTTTGGTTACTGATTTCTAGTCACGCGTCATGTCTCTCGTTAAGCTCCTGGCGATATCATGCCTATTGGCATACGGATGGGCAAACCCTCTGAAGGGCTCTTTCGCCCCTCGGCAAGCTGAGCCTCCTACAGCTTCTTCGGAAGCTGTTTCTACTGCATGTGGAGACATCATTGTCGCTGTAAACAACAGTCAGTACTACGATATACGATTGGGAAGAACACCTTGACTAATCAATGGCAAAGATTATACACTCTTCCAGGCGTCATGGGTGTACGAGTGCTTGCAGAGTATCCCCTTCAACTCAGCCGTCGCAATGCGCTTTCTCGATTACTACAACATGACCTTACAATTCCAGCCTACACTGGGATATCTCAAAGAGCCACCCGCGGGCTACCAACGAGCACCATTCGACGTCGACAAAGCTTTAGACGAGATAAAGCAGAACGTGACTGCGGCTGTTTACAACAACCAATATGAGTTTGAAGCACAGATTCAGCTCTTGATAAACCAGCTTCGTGACACGCACGTCACTCTCAATGCCGGAGCTTTGTCAGCATTCTCTTTCGTCGCCTCATTTGGTCTTGTAAGTGCGTCGATTGACGGGAAGCAAGCCCCGGAAATCTACCTTGATCAGGACCTGTACGAGGCTTGGGCAATCAACGAATACAAAGCGTCGCCTGTGACCCATATCAACGGGGTTGACGTGATCGAATATCTGGAACTCTTTGCCGAACAGAACTCCCAAGGCTTCTTAGAACCACATGCCGACTGGAACGCGATAATGAACAGCCCTGCGCTCAATATCCAGGGTCTTCCGAGTACATTCCAATCGGCAACGCTTTACCCCGGGAATGGACTCTTTTCCGATGCGCTCAACTTCACCCTCCAAAATACCACTGTGGTCGAGACCATTTGGTGGGCCGTTTGTGTCGACTGTAAGGAAACAGGACCTCTTACCACTGGTGGCGATTTTTACAACTACTTTGTTCTCGGATTCCTGCCAGAAAGCTATCGTGAAGGCGAAGAGTGGTGGCCAACCCTCGAAGACAAGTTTCTCTCTTCAACGGACGACAGCGTCAGTACTTTCAACTTCACAGCGGAACTGGAAAAGTATTGTATGGCAGGAGCCCCGTCGAGCCAAAACTGGTGCATGGACAGCTTTGCCGCATACCCGAATAATCCCATGACCGTCCAAGCCGATCTTTCTGTCATAGGAGGAGGTATTGTATCTAGCTACATGTTAGATGGAGCGTCCACCGCCATCCTGAGCATACCTTCGTTCTATCAAAATGGTATTGATACGTCCAACTTTCGCCAAGCGATTCGCGACTTTATCGGTAACGCATCACAAAGCCAGGCTTCCCGTGTCATTATCGATCTGCAACAAAACTCTGGAGGTCTTGTGTTTCTCGCCTACGATACATTCAAGCAGTTCTTTCCGAATCTCGAGCCCAATGGTGCAAGCCGCCAACGCAGCCATGGATTGAGCGATTCTCTCGGTGAAGCCTACACCGAGTGGTGGGACCGGTCAGGCCGCGACCAGACGGATTCCTACAATTGGGCGTCGAGCGAGTGGATCGTCACTAATCGCATCAACGCCGCTACTGGGAAAACTTTCTCGTCTTGGGACGAGTTTTACGGTCCAGAGATTAGCAACGGCGACACGTTCTCGGGGAGTCAACAATACAATTTGTCTGATGAAAATTTCGACTATTCCGCCTTTGGTGACTTACCATACGGATACGATCCAAGCGACCCGATAACCAATACATCACCACCTTGGGCTCCTGAGCAAATTGTCATCCTGACTGACGGTCTCTGTGCCTCTGCATGCGCTGTGTTTGTCGAGTTCATGACCCACGAAGCCGGAGTCAAAACTATCGTCGTTGGCGGTCAGCCTAAGCCCGGCCCGATGCAAGCAGTCGGCGGTACTCGTGGCGCTGCCGCATACTCTGCTGACGCCCTCGACTTCGATTTTGACGAAGGACTAGAGGATTCGCCTGTCGAAAAGCCCGAAGTCGTTTCGCAACTGCCCGACCGAACGGATACAGGAATGTGGATCAACTACGCCGGTTTCACAATCAGGAATCAAGTTCGTGGCACCGAATTCACACCCCTGCAATTCCAATACCAAGCTGCCGATTGTCGTATATACTACACGCTGGAGACGATCTACAACATGACTCAACTTTGGGACTACACCGCCCGTGCAACATGGGATGACCAGACTCTTTGTGTTCAGGATTCCACAGGGTACCCAACGGCCCGCAATAAGACATCGGCCAAATCGCCCCCACCAGCCAGACCAGCCGCACTTGCAGTCTACGACTTCTCACCGCCGCCCATCGCTAATAACATAACGTTTGCGATTCTCGACGGCCATGGCGAGAACAAAAGGAAAGCTGGTGAGCCTTACGCGCCCTGTAGTAAAGGTTGCCATTGTGATTATATGAGGCTGGCTTGCCCTGGCGGACTGAGAGATGTCCCAGCATGTCTGCCCTCATGCACTGCTACTAAGCGCGACCAACAGGGCGATTGTCCTGGGCGTAATGACTACTGCGACATATCAGAATCCGTTAAGCAGACGAAAGCTTACGCTCCAAGTACGTTTAAGATCCCGAACAATTTGCTTTATGACGGTTACTGCAAGTCAGAGAAAACGAATACAAAGTTTTGTGACAAGCCAGGCGAGTGGGTCAACTAGGTACGCGTACACAATGTCTAAAGAAGTCGCGGTGTGATAGCACGTGAGGCGATCTTGGGGCAATGCTAGGACAAGCACATGTTATCTCTTGCTATCTCAATCATTTGCTGCATCGATCTTTCCGTCTGACGGAACTGCAACGTTCTTGTGTATTGCCGACGTGAAGATTCGGTTCAAATGAGACGCGCCTTACAAATGCGGTACCTTAAGACTCGCCAATAACAAGTTCACAATACTGAACAGACCTTCCCCGAGAATCAACCCACTCGCAAGCACAATGATAGGCGTCTCACTCCGACCCTTCCAGCGGCGCCACCACAGACTAAGCAAACCGCCAATTGTACGCGCCAACGTAAAAGAAGGCGTGTTGTACATGCCTACGTGAATCGTTAGTTCCCAGAACGTGATCAGTGAGAATGCGATGAACATACCAACAGCAACAGCAATACCACCAGGTACAAAGTCAATCCACCACCCACTTAGACCCCTCTGCTTTCTGCTATTACCCCACACTCTGACCATCGTGCCCATGGCAAAGATGATAGCTGCCCCACTAGCCCATTCCTTGACCATAGGCGGTAGACCCTTTCCAGTCACCAATCGCGCGGTGAAGACCCATACATATCCCGTCGGCACCTCGAACAGGCCACCAGGAATGGTGTAAACATTAGTGTAGAGCTTATACACAACAGCAGACAACACCGCGCCAACCGCAGACCCAATCATCTGACCCCAAAACTGCGCGTTCGGCGCCGCGCCGAGAAGATGGCCGCATTTGAGATCTTGCAATAGATCGCCTGCTTGTAGTGCTGCGGACTCGGAGATAGCGCCTGCGACAAGGTTGATGATGACTGCGTTTTTGGCGCCGGGGCCGGTGGTTGGGGTGACGAGCGCGAAGACGAGTTGGGTGAGCTTTGAGATGCCGGAGACGG